CTCCTTAACAGCACGCTCCATTGCTCCATCGTTCCATCGCTTTGGGGGGCTGCCGCTGCCGCTGCCAGTGCCCGTATCCGTCTCCGTCTCCGATTCCCAGCTCAGTCGTAGTCACCCCTCCCATCTCCCATCCAGAACTTGTGACATCTAATAAGTGTTTACTACCCAACGAGGATGCTTTTCCAGTGCTTTAAAACATCGGGGGAGTGCGTGTGTATGTGCGAGTGTGTGCGTGTGTGTGCGTGTGTGTGCGAGTGTGTCTGCTACAATTTGCTGCCCTGCTGGATGCTAGCCACCCGCCTCTGCCGCACACATATTCCCAGTCGATAAAGAACGAACAAATTGTGCGCAATTCGCTTTTTTTTCTAACAATGTTAACGCTAACTTTGCTTTTAAATGTATTTCTCTCTGTCTAAAAGAAATGCCTTGACTTAAAGTTATTTTTGAGAGCATGCAAAAATTCATTGATTGATTGATGAGAGACAAAAATAACTTGTAAAATAAACCACAACAAAAATTTGCCAAATTTTCAAAATGCATCAAATTATAATAAATTACCACAAACAAAAGAAAACACGTTTTAAATATTGATAAATTCGAGTTCTAAATGACATATAAAAAATGAATGTTAGCATATATCATATACAAAAATAGCTTTTGCCACATAAGCCATAAATAATATATTAAAAAAAAACCATTGGAAAAAATACTTTTAAATTATAATACGTTAATTAGGTGCACCGTAAATTTATTTACTCAGCACTCATGTTGAACAAATACAGTGCACATATGCGGCTTTAATTTATGCAATTAAACTGCTTTAATTAGTTAAGCAACGACTGCAAGAATAACAACAACAACAAATACAACAGCAGAGCCGAAGAAAAACAACAGCTGTTGCATATATAAGCATGTTCGGTTGGGCAACATAAATAACAGCGAAGCGGCATTAAAAAATATACAATTTAAGCATTCACAAATTCGTTTATTTGGCAAAAACCAAAAACCAATTTCATTCGCGCATTTCAGACATGCTTGAAAAAGAAAACAGAAAAAAAGCCAGCAAACTGTACAGATTCAAAAAAAAAAAATAACAATTGTCAGCGTACACAAACTTAAATGATATTAAATTTTTGCTGTGTAAAAAACTTGAAGTTTTCTGCTTATATGAAAGTAGCTTGATATAAAATTTTAAAATAAAATATTTATTAGGCATCTATTGAAAAATCTTGTTACTGCTGTACACGAAATTTCGTATCATATTTCAAAGATCCTTCTTTTATGCTGTGTAACTTTTTGTGCAAGTTTTCAAACCAGAAAAATAAAACCCTTTATATATATTTTATTATATTTTTATATAATTGACTGAGTAAGGTAAGGCATCAAAATCCCGTCACGAAGAAGTCAAACAAAATTTGTGGGCTGAATAGACGAGAGTTGGCAATTGGACAGATTTTGGGTATGTCTGTAATTCATGCGAATTATGCAAGCTTTTTTGCATTACACTCGATTCGATAAGAATCAGTCACAATGCAGAGTAATAATAATTTATTTAAGTTTTTTTTTATTATTAGCAAAAAATATAAATTTCATGTGAAGTACATTAAACTCTATAAGCACAAAATGTAAGAAATCAGCGTGAATATTTGCTTTGGCTCAGAAATTTCTATGGGGAATATTAAATTGTTGCATAAATCCGGCATATTTTCATGTCCGTTGACAACTTTGCTAATGCTAATGGAGTGTCCACTGTACGGAGTTCAAAGTTGACCGGGGCCAGGGCCCCATTTGTCTGGATCGTTCGAATTGTGTGAATGTTTATGATGGGCAAAGTAAAGAAAAAAAAACCAAAGCCATGCAACGTCAATGTCCATTTGCAAAAGTTGTCCCAAGAAACTGATGGCAATTTGGAGGCCGGGAGAGAGGTATGGGGGTGGGGGTGGGGTAGGTGAACTTTTAAGCAGCTGGCGTGCGTCCAAAGGTGACCCAGGGGATTGGGCGGCATATAGGAAGCGTGCGGGGGGAGGGGCAGCGAAACTTTTAAATGAAATTTTTGCCTTAAAGTTTTGTCAGGTAAGTTGCGCTCCAATGCGAACAAGCTGGCTTAGGTCAGCCAGCAAAGTAGCGGTCTACCGCAGTCACACAACCGTACACACACACACACACACACCAGCAGAGACACAACCACACACACACACACACACACACACGCGCGCAGCTGTATTGTCACGTAGCTTGGTGACAGATTCCAACAGGCGGGCAAATAACATTAAAACAACAAACGGCAGCTAAGCAGCAGCGCATTATGGCCACTAAGGATGCTCAGAATGCTGGAGATGCTCTGCCAGCCTTTCATGTTGCAGGTGTGGGTGACTCCCTCGCATCCCTCCCCAAGCTCCGCCTCGCCTCGCCTCGCCACGCAACAAAAGTTTCGTTTTAATGTCTCAGCAAGTGTTGCCGTTGCGTAGTCTCTTTGTTTACCTGCTTCAGCATTCTACCCGCAAAAAATATGAAATTAGCAGCACATGACCCCCAGCCCCAAAAAGAAATGTAAAAAATGTAAATTGTACGACTGACAGATACCCTACATTAAGCTGCGAGTAGCGAAGTACAGAATACTTCTTACTGCTTCTCATTAAAAATAAATATTCTTCAATAACTTTTGTTTTTATTGCCTGTAAATTGTGAAGTTTGATGGTTAGATTAAAATATGTGTCTATACAGAAAATCAAGGACTTAGCTCTTTTAAAAATTCTAAGATTTGAAGAGGAAGTAAATCATGAAACATTTTTGGAATAAATTTTTGAATATATATTTATATATACATGAAGAACATTAATACCAAATTTATTTACCTCTTATATGAGCCTTGCATATATAGATTTTAAAAGAACACACCTTCTCTATAAGAAAAATGTTATGTATAATAAATCAGAAGACTCCATTATGTTCAAGTCTTTGAGAAGAACAAGTCGAACATTTGCAAAGACAATGGGACACGGCTCACTCTATCATCCCGATCGAGAATATATAAGCTTTATGGTTTCGGAAATGCCTTTGTCTGCCTGCAACATACATTTTCAATTTACGCTTTGAGTACGGGATATAAAAAGGCTACACATTTAGCTTTTTTGCCGGCCTGTTGCAGCATTTGAAGTAATTACAACATTTCTTTTGCGCACTCGTATATGGAAATAATTCTTTTGCTTTATATGGGCATTACGCTAATGTTTTTTTTTAAGCCCTTGGCCAAATGTTTTATGCTTTTTGTTTTTGTTGTTAGCCCAAAAAATTATGACACTCTGACTCAGATTGCGGGCTCTCAGTTTGCATTGCGGCTCTAAAGCCCGAAAGCTAATGCGTTTTTAAATATGCTGCAGCGGATGCTCGGTCGGCATTAATTAACAGGCACACAACCAGCCGCAGCGGCGCTTATTGTGGCGTCACAGAGGGGCAGGGGGCGGGGAGAAGGGGGCAGGGTTAGAGGTTAGCTAAATGCGCGCTGCTGAATGCGAGTTGTAAAAGTCACGAGCTCGGTTTGAAAAATTAAAGTTTTGCGTTCATTTGATGCTATTTTACAAGCTTTAAATGCGCTTAAAAGTATGCTATACAAATTGAAGTTTGTCATTTTTTATATAAAACGAGAGCGATATAAAAAATGACAAACTATGCACAACAAAATATAGTTTTCTCCAGAGAAACGGAATGAATGAACAGGGATTTATTAAAAAAAATATATTAAACGATATCTAAATCTGCTGATTTAAATTATATACACTTTATGGGGCCGGAGTTGTCTCTTTCTATGCGATACGCATTTCACGACAAAAAAGCATAAAAACCTTTAGGAGATTATACAAATTATAGAAATATTGCAAATTTTTGTATGGGTATTTATAATACTTTCATAATACATGTAGATATTTATGTAGTATAGCAATTGAATTTTTTCCTGAAGGAATTTTTTATATTTCGCAAATCATTTAAAGAAGTTGTGATAAAAATTAATATCGGGGATCTGTCAATTTTTTAATTCTCTCTACAAAAAGAAGTGAAATGTGAAAATTAAGTAAAGAACCTTGAGCCAATTAACTTAATATTAAAAAAAATGCAAAGGTCGCCAAAATCAGCATTGGGAATGGAAAACTTCGCTGAGCTTTTCGCTGCGGTCATTTGAGGTTAAAAAAAGTCTAAGCAAATTTATTGAGAACCAATAACTGTTGTAATTGTCTTTTAATATTCTTATGGTTGCTAAGTTAATATTAAAGATTGTTTAATATATATATAAGCCTTCCAACATTAAAGAAGCCTTTAAATAGTAAAGCCCCTGGCGATAGTTTTATCTTTTACAAAATGTATCACTCACCTGTTGCTTTCTCTTACGAAGGACACACGAAGAACTGGGTAATAAAAATTGCTCTTGTTACTTTGTTTCAATTTCTTATGTTTGCTTTAGTTGAGGCTCCTTGAAGAGGATATTTTAAGTGGACATTGTGTAATAAGCCGCACTTGCACAAACACACACACACACACACACACACACAGACACAAATGGGCACTAGCACATGGTTTCTAATGTATTTGTTGTTGGCCGTGTCCCTTTTTTTTTTTTTTTGGTGGCGCTTGTTGTCGACGGCGTCGTCCTTTTGGGCTTGTCGTGAAAGGCAACAGCTTGAAATGCTATTAAAATATAATCTGCTGATAATCTGCACTTAATTTTGTGCTTTGCTCGATGCAGGACAACACACACACACACAGCAAATAGAAAAAAGTTAAGTGTGTGTGTGTGTGTGTGTAATGTCCTTGCCACAAGGCAGTCGACGTCGTCAGCTGCGCGTCGTTAGTTGTCCTAAGCCTTGGCGAGCTCCTGCCCCAGGTTTTTGTATGAGTGCGGCGAATACTAAATAATGCTCGTACCTTTAATTTCTGTTACGCTTTTTTCCTCTTCTTCTTCTTCTCTTATTTGGTTCCTATTTTAATACTCGTTCACTTGGTTACTCTTTTATAAATTGTATTGCCTCTGTCTTGCTGTCTGTATTCACCTTTTTTTTTTACACTTCGCTGACTTTTAATGTTTGCTACCGTTTGTTGTTGTTTTCCTTAATTTTGTTTCGTTTTTTTTTTTTTGTTCTGTTGTCCTTGCACAACTACAAATTCGCTGATGTGCGTGCGTGTTGATTTCCTTTGCTGTTACCTTTTTTGATATACTCGCACACTTTTCTTTCTTTCTTTTTTTTTTGTGTTGTTGTTCGGCTATTGAGTTTTGAAAATATATTAAATTTTTCTTTTCTCTGCTTTAATCAAATTTCCACTTGATTGGAGTGACGACAATTTCGTTGATTTCCTGCTGCTGCTGTGTCTGTGTGTGTGTGTGTGTGTGTGTGTAAATGTGTGTGCGTGTTTGGAATAAATGAGAGAAGAGAAGAAAATGTTTTTATTAGTTAGAATGTTGGCATTGTGCATTGTATTTGCAATACAAATGTTTTATTTGACAAAGAGTATTTATATTTTAGTATATTTATATTTTCATATATATATAATTTGTATATCAGATAATCATATTTTCATTTGGAAGCTTTAAAGAAATATGTTGTGGATGCTCGGAAGTTGGAATTTCCTTAAGTTACAATCGTCTTTTTTTATTGCATCTTACGTATTCATCTCAGATTTAATTAGACTTTGCTTTATGTGTTTTTCCCTTTTGAAAGCATCTAAAAAAACTTTATACAAATTATCTATCTATGTCATTTATCTATTTATCTATCTGCTTATCTATCTATCCAACCATCTATCATGCTATCTATCTATCTATCTATCCATCCATCTACCTATCCATCTATCTATCTTTCTATCTATCTATCTATATATCTAACTATCATCTATCTATCTATCTATCTATCTATCTATCTATCTTTCTTTCTATCCTTCTATATACCTATCAATATATCTATCTGTCTATCTATATATCTATCTATCTATCTTTCTACTTTCTATCTTTCTATCTTTTTATCTAGCTTTCTATCCTTCTATCTACCTAACAATCTCTCTATCTGTCTATCTACCTAAAAAGGAAAAAAAGAGAGTTATTTCGATTTAGAACTAAAGGCCATAAACGAAATGGTGCCTTTAGTGTTATGTTAGTGAGAGTTGTAAATGTTAACTTTTTTCCGCAATCTTTAATTTCTGGTTACACAAAATAACATTTTTAAGTGCTTACAGTTTTCTGTTAACACACAATGAAATCTGAAAATTGTTTATAGTTTTTATTGTCATCGTTAACAGCAAGGTTAAGTCGCTGGTTTTAACATACTGCAAATTACTCAGTTTAAAGTCCCATTCACACTGTTAATACCAGCAAATGTTAATGCAACTCTCATATATTAACAAATTCGTATCAGCGTTTGTCCATGGAAACATCATGCCAAATTCTTGTTAATAAGGTTTTAAAACTTATCGAGTTTCACTGCAATTCGCCCAAAAATTACACAAATTGTTAAGTCAGCGGCTTAACAGCCCAATGCTTCTGTCACTTTACATTCGCGACAATCATCGCATATTTAATTCATTTGCAGCTGCGGAGCTGCGGCCATAGTCGGCTACCACTAAGACGCTTCTCTGGCAACAGGGTATGAGATTATGCCAATTTCAAAAATAATTTCGTTTTTTCCAAGCCAACTGTCAGATCCTCTTAACGTGGCCGTTTTATGCCTGCGCCTGTGCGTGTGCTTGTAAAACCCCAAAATGCAACACCGCGGCATTAACACCCACACACACACACACACACACAGACACACACAGACACACACAGACGCACACACAGACACACACACTCATAAACACTTACAGGTTGAAAATTCACTTTTTTCTTAAATTTTATTATTTGGATTTCATTTTGCCCGCCCGCCTGCAATAGTAATTTATTTTTATTTTTGTATGCTCGTCGCTGCCGCAGACTATAAAATATTTAATTTCCTCTACGCATCTGAGGTTGATATAATTCCTTCCGGTTATTTCTGCCGCAGAGTGTTTCTAATTCCCTCAAAAGCTATTTAGACGCAAACATCCATCCGCATGGCCGCAGCGAAAGCTACAACAATTTCCATCAATTTCCACCCAGCTAGCAAATTTAACAAATTCTTCCATTTTTTTCTTTTTTCGTTTGGCAATTCAAAAAAAATGAGCAAGAAAAATAAATTAAATCACTTTTTCTTTCACACGATTTGTGCCCCGCCCCCAGTTTTGGGCCCGCCTCTGCATGTTGCTGGCATTTATGCTTCATTTACTTTTGATGGTTTTCTCTCTGGCAGACATGTTCTTCTTGTAGCTGCTTGTTTTTAAGCGTTTAATGTTTTTTTTCGTTGTGGATGCTTATTTAAATAATTATATTTACTGAAACTTTGCAAATAGTGTTGTGTAATCTATGGCCACAGAAGAAGGCACACGACAGGACTTAATTGTGATTGGACATTTGATATAACATTTTTTTGAATAAATTGATAAGCAACAGCATATATTAGAAAAACTACAAAATACCATGCTGCGGGAACAACAGCAATAAAGAAATTCGAAACTAAAAACAAGGAGAGCCCAACACAAATCGGACTTCAAATTAAGACAACAATATAATGTACAAAAGAAACAGCACTAATGAACCACTGTACGAACGGAAACTATAAGAATTATAATAACAAATAATCAAAATAATAATAAACAGACCAAACAATAAACGCCTGAGCTTCAAAAGAGACAAAGTACAATTAGGCACTTATTGCATAGCAAAATAGTTTCAATATCCACGTCAAGAATATTGTACATTCACTGTTCAATTAATATTCATTAATTGCCTACAAAAAAATTAAAGTCAAATTGCTTTTGCTCTCATTTGTTTCCTTCGTTTGTATCTGTGCTCGTTATTATTTAATATTATGTTGTTATTGTTAAAATTGCCTTTGCCTTATTTCAATTTATATATATATTTAACAACATAGAAAATTTTGAAGAGTGTCCAAAAGTAGATAACCTTCCGGGCATACACGTTATGGACAAAAGTATTTTCACTTTAGGATGTCCAAAAATAAATAAACTAAAGACATATACAGATATTGGTAGAGAACTGTCCTAATGGGATGAATCTTTATAATGTTTAAAATGTGAAATACGAATTATATTTACACTTTTGGATGTCGAAAAATAAATAGCCTCTTAATTGGCGGCATAAATGTTGGATTATTAAAGGAATCTTTATGATACTTATAGATGTGAATCCTAACATTATTTACCTTAAATAGTAAATCCTGTCAACTGATCTTTAAAAAGAGTTCTACAAGAAAACAGAATTGTCGAACGATAAGTTTTAAACTTTCTGCTGCTAAAAGCCAAATTTTTATCAAGTTTAACAAATATACCTTTAAAACTGAGAGACTCGTGGGCATAGAAATAGACAAACACGCTTAATTATATCATTTCGACAGTTTATACAAAAGAGTATATTTATTTAATGCAGTTGAAAGCGTCAGTTGTTATATTTAATTAACAATGCATATAATGTTTATTTTATATGGTCTAAAACAATCACAAATACGTTATTTACTCATCAAAACTAAACCTTATTAAAATGTTAAAATAATATTGTTTATTTGAAGTATGCAATTTAAATGCCTGCCGAAATCCAAGAAGAATGGAAATTAACTAAATTATTGTTTGCTGGAAAAATATGTGTGAAAAGAAAAATAAATAAAAAAAAAACATTTTAAAAGCAGCAATAAATAAATGCACTATGATATAGACAACTGCTACTAATCAGACAAATAATATTCAGCTTAAACTTTACATAGAATAAAGACAGAAGACAGACAGAACACAGAAGTTTACATAGAATACAGATTACAATCATTTTATTTGCTTCCATTTCTATCAAGATATATGATAAACTTAATGAAAAGCTCACTCAATAGCTAAGCGAAATTTTTGATTAAATTCGACATAGCATACTTTAATTCAATTATTTTATTATTGTAAATATTGTGCGAGAGCAGAGTTTTCAAATTCTATGCCAAGCAGCTTGTTGACTTTTCACAGTTTTTGGTTGTGTTAACAAAATGAACTTCACTTTCAAACAAATGCAAACAGAAAGCTTATGAATTCCTTGTCTAGAATTGAATTCAAATTCAAATTCAAATTTATTGCGTTTATATAGATTTTTATTGAAATGCCACTTGAATCAAGAGAGCATAAAGGAAATGTAGCTACTTGAGAAATCCTGGGCTACTTGAGTTCGCTTTTATGGGCCGACTAATTAGTTTTATCTCGTTGTATTTTATTAGGCAGGCTGTGCGTGCTAATTAAATTAATTAGAAACCTGTCGAGACGCTGGCTAAATAAACCATAAAAATCATAAACTCGTTTTATATTTTCTCATTTAAAAGGGCCCACACACACACACGAACATTTCGTGGAATTTTAATGAGGTGTTTGGCGGCTGGCAGTGCATTAATTAAAAAGGGTTTTCGTTTCAAGCAGCAGCCAAATATTGTCGCCCAACCGTTGACCCAAGACCAAAACGAAAAAAAAAATACTTTTCGAGCGAAAAAAAGTTGAGCTTGCTTTAAAAACTGCTTTAAGGCAGAGCAGCGCACGTGTTGGTTGCCTGGGCTCCTTTTCTTTTTTTTTTATTGTTTTTCTTGTCAATCTCAGGCCTAAGGACACACAATTTCAATTTGAGCGCGTGTGAGTTCAGCGCACTCGCTCGCCTTCTCGCTGTCCCGTTCTGTGCGACGCTTTAATTTCCGCTTGAATGCAAAGCAAAAGGTTTCCCTTTTCTTTTTTTGGGGAAGCCGCATGAAAAAGGTTCCCTTCACTTGCATGCTGACTGCTTGACCTCAGCGACCGAGCGACCTCAGCGGCCGAGCGACCAGCCGAGCGGTCAAGCAAAACAAAACAAAAGCCTGGCCGGGCCTGGCATGGCCCATGTGCGCTCTGCTGCCAAAAGAAAGCAAGCTTTTCAACTTGATTAATTTTCACAATTTAAGTTGATGAGCGCACAATTTTCCAGCTAAACAATGGCCAAATGCTTTTGCCATTGCCATTGAGTGGGTGTCAGTTAGTCATTCATTCACTCAGCCTGTCAATCAGTCAGTCAGTCAGTCAGTCGGTCGGTCAGTCAGTCGGTCAGTTTACTTTTCGATTTAACTTTTTTATTGCATTGGTTATTTTTAATGGCTTGGCACACAGCTGCACATACCTTGCCAGCTAAGTTTGGCTAAAGTGTTGTTGTGTGATTTGCAAGGGCTGCGCAGCGCAAAGGACCCGAATTTGATTTATTTATGAAAATCTGGCGACATTTGTGCTAATGGC